CGAGCCTTAGCTTACCCTCGCCGACGATTCGTCGTCCTTGCGAGGGGTGCATGCTGGGTAAAAAACACCAGCTTCCGTTCCCACCAAACGAACATCGCAGTAACGAGTTCCTTGGATTAATCCATGCCGATCTCAAAGAGTTCGCAGTCGAGTCGTGGAACAAAAAATCATACGCACTTGTCCTCATGGATGACTGCACGTCCTACGCATGGGTCATGCTCCTCAGTCGAAAGAGCGAGGTCCAGCAAGCCGTAGAGACCTGGTTTAGCATGCTGCTGAATCAGTACCACAAAACGATTCGGATGTGGATGAGCGATGCAGGGGGAGAGTTCAAATCGCGAGCCTTTACCAAAAGTTTAGAATCGCGTGGCATTCGCATCCTCCAATCAACGCCGTACAACCATGAAACCAACGGCCGTGCGGAACGGATTATTCGCACCTTAGACGAAAAAGCTATGTCAATGCTGCATAACGCCAATTTGCCGCCGTTCCTATGGAACTTCGCCATCGAGCACGCATGCCACGTCTACAACAGAACGCCCATGAAACGTCCGAAGGCAGCGCAGAGTATGCGCTGGAAAACGCCGTATGAGATAGTGGAGGGTAAAAAACCCCGCGTCGATTACTTGCGTGTTTTCGGATGTCTGGCATACGTGTACCTGACTCCTGAGGAACGAGCCAACAAGCTTGTTCCAAGATCCCAGGCGTGTATCTACGTCGGGGAGTCACCGGCAGGGAACGGGAGACTGTTCCTAACCGGAGAATGGAGACTACGGGTCGCTGTTAACGCAACGTTCGATGAGCAGACTTTTCCGAAGCGTACCATGTTCTGGCAACGGAACACCAAGCGCTTTACGCGCTTACCAGAGGTGGATGAGCTACTACCACCTAGGTTTCCCATCATTGAAACCAACTCCAACCCTTCTGGTTCGGATGACGACCGACCATCGTCTCCTGCCGACATGTTTCCTGACCAAGGTGGCAACGGTGGACCTGCCGACGGGCGGCGAAGCCGAAGCCCGCCTCCAACGCCAAGGTCAGACACTCCAGACGAGAAGCGCAAAGGGCAACAGCCCAAGGTCGAGGATTACGACGAGGATGAATACGAGTTTGAGGAAGGCGAACTGGAACCAGCCGATGGCTTTGGTGAAGGCGACCTGGACGAAGACGAGTTAGAGGGTTTGTACCAGAATCCACCAGCAGGTGACCCCTCACGAAGGGAACAACAAGATCTTCTGCCGGATCCTGACGAAGAGCCAGCTCCGTTGGAACGCGACTTGCATTCACCGCATCGCGAACCAAGGGTGGATCTTAACCCTCGAATTGTCAATCCTGCCGGACCAGCGCCGACCGGCTTACGGAGATCTGGGCGTACGAGGAACGCGATCGAGGATCCCAACAACGCTATACCGGGACGCACCCCGGTAGAGAGATTGAGGAATATCAACCAACGATTAGAGGGTACCGTCTATAAGCGCTTACGAGGAAATCCTGTAGAGGGAACTCACGACCATCAGCCGGGTGCTGATGCCGAGATGCCTCCGTCGAAGTGGCAGAAGACAGGCATACGCCTAGAATCTGACGCTTTGACGCCTATCGACCCAAATCTCACCATAGATGAAGTCGAAGGTATGCAGGAACGTTTCAAAAACCTCTGGCAGAGGCATAGAAACTCGACGCCTGCAGACGACGACGATGGCCCCACCTCACTCATGGCCCTCGCATCAAGGGAGTTAGAACCCCTTCCGCACGCGTTATTGCGAAACGCAGCGGCGCATATCGCTTCAGCGAAGGAAGCAGCAGCAAAATTTGTGGATCGTATGCTTTTACACGCGTACGCAGCATCCGCAAATCTTGGACCAGACCTCGCAAACGTGAGGGAATGGAAGTACGAAGACATAATAACATTACCCGCCGAGGAGTCGGAAGCCTGGATGCAGGCTTGTCGTGATGAGATCGAAGCTCTCGTCCGACGGGGTGTCTTCACGGAAGTTGACCTACCGCCCGGTCGTAGGGTGATTAGGTGTCGATGGGTATTCGACATAAAAACAGATGGCCGCCGAAAGGCACGCCTGGTCGCTAAGGGTTTTTCCCAGCGCGAAGGCATCGACTTCTCCGAAGTCTTCTCCCCAGTAGTGCGCTTCGAAACCGTTCGCACCATACTGGCACTCGCAGCGCTCAAAGGCTGGTACGTCTCTGGCCTCGATGTGCGGAACGCCTATCTTTATGGCGATCTGGATGAGGAGATTTATATGGAGGTGCCGAAGGGTTTTCACAAATCC